CCGTAATCCTACAGAAAGGGGCGGGGAAGTAGAATTATCGAAGTTCTGCAGGAAAAGTTTACGATTTTTGGATTACAAAAGAATGCAGAGAATTGATGTTCTCAGAGCTGAATGTGGCAATTAACGTAGACTCTCAATTTTGCAGAACTCCTTAGACAATCATGAATATGTAAATCTTTTGTTATAGCTGTTGAGAATGTTGATTAATAGTCTATCTGAAAAGCACATGGAATTTATATGTTTGTTTTTATGTATGTTTGTATGTAGCACATCCAAAAATTTGCTTTTGAACCACTTCACACACATAAAAGGGAAGGGAGGGAGATAAAATACCCTGCTTTATCCATCCAAATATTGATAGGTTCCGTCAGTTCATCGATTTTCTGCACCTTTCGCCTTAGAAGATTGCGCAATGGTGTTAACATGCTGATTACGAATATGATAACCATTAGAGGACTATCTACCAACTTTTTGGAATTCGCTGCACAGTCATTGCTTTAAGGAGTTGCAGATTTTCAGATAGTCGCAAATGGCGCGCTGTTTCTCAATTTTTCTTTGTTGATTCTGAATAAAGCTTTATCTGAGCTAAAGTCTCTGGGTTATTTTCAAATCTTTTGCATCACAGGTTTCAAAATCCAAAGCACAGTTTGTTCTTTTTTAGCGCGAAACTTAGTTTAAGCTCTCCTCTCTCTAGCACAAGTATGTTTGAGGCAGCTCTTTCATAACGTATTGCACGACGTTTCGTTTCTTAAAACGTTCCCGTGCACCCTGTTTACAAAAGCAGCCTTTACCTTATTTATCCCAATCGAAGAAACAATTAAGAGATCGATATACAAGGTTTAGCTAGTCATATTCTATTATGCAGTAAAGCCTTTTTGATCTTTGCATTATTGATCAAAATGCTAGGCGTATAGATGTAATTGTTTGCAGCAGCTCTACAAATTTTCTAAACAAGTCATGGATTTTGCGACGGCGCGGCTGTAGACCTACTCGATCTCGCTCAAATTCCACTTGAAAATTTCAGAATCCATATCCTACATAACGTTCGAAAGTCCCATTGATGAGCTATCAAATGAGTATTCGATTCGGAGAGACAATCAATGTATCTGGAGTGTGTAGCGGTGCGCAAAGACAGTTGGCGCGTTAACTCTATTAATGCATCTTATGTCAGGGGATGCGGCGGTAGGGCCTGTAGTTCTCGCTGTTCTTAATACTCAACTCTTCCATGATTCAACTTGCAAAACTCGTCTAGCTCTTCACAAATTTTGAGAAAAGGCCGCCGT